CTTGGAAGCTGTTATTATAGGCAAACTCAATTAGGGGTAAATGGTTATCCCAGCTTCCTGTAAAGTCGGCGACACAAGCCCTTAGCATATCTTCTAAGGTCCGGATGGTTAATCCAAAAGGCATGACTAAAAATTCATAATGGCCATATCTTGTCCTAAAAGCTGTTTTGGAAACATAATCACTTCTAATCTTAAGCTGATGGTCCCAGGTGACTGTGAAAAATAAGTATCCACTACCTAGAATTGATAATTTATTTGATCAATTGCAAGGATTTGGATCGACTGACCCAGTTGTACATCAAGGAAATAGTGAGGTTGCATGGAGTTCCAATCAGTATTGTATCTGACAGGGATACTCGGTTTACTTCCAGATTTTGGACTAAGGTGAAATCAGCCATGGGGACGAGACTCACCTTTAGTACTGTCTTTCACCCCCAAACTGATGGGCAATCGGAAAGAACCATCCGGACCTTAGAAGATATGCTAAAGGCTTGTGTCGCCGACTTTACAAGAAGCTGGGATGACCATTTACCCCTAATTGAGTTTGCCTATAATAACAGCTTTCAAGCCAGTATTCAGATGACACCCTATGAAGCCTTATATGGAAGGAAATGCAAGTCACCTGTCTATTGGGACGAGGTTGGTGAAAGAAAGCTTTTAGGGCCAGAAATTGTGTCCAAGTAACCTCAGATAAGAATAGCATGTCGCATCTCAAGAATGTTAGTAAACTTGGGGTGTGTGACAGGTCGCTTCTCATCAATGTTGGAACTTCTCTAGAGAAACCCATAAAAACAAGGACAATGAGTGCAAGGCCAATAATGTGGAAGCTTTTTAAGGACAAAGTGCCCCTGAAAGAGAATGTGTGGTATGCAAGAGCCTTACCGATAAATGGATATACCTCAAGGTTTATCCAATCACTATTTGCATAACACTATGTGGAAGTTCAATCTCCAGGACACTTGCATCTATACATTGTCTTTACAAATTTTTGAAACTCAAAGGTAAGTAGTTTAAAAATAGATGGGAGATTATCAGATTTTTTTTTTTTTTTTTTATAATGGATTGTTAGATTTTTAATGGTGTTTTGGAATAACTATTATTTTCCTTGTGTTTAAGCAAGTTTCTTAGTAATGGAAAAGGAAGTTTTAGTCCGACATTGCATAAAGGCAATAGTCTCAATGAGTTTATATGTGGGAATCTTCCTTAACCCTTTTGGGGCTAAGAAAAGGAGAGAATTGGGGGCTTTTAGCTTCTCTCAATTTGTGTGCAGTAACAACTTTCAAATGCAGCCAGGCCATGGCCATGGCTGTGGCAGTGGCAGTGGCAGTGGCTATGGTTGAGTTTGAAGCTTCAAGCTAAAGTCCTTTCTTTTAATGCCAAAAGCCTTTTTCACAGTGATTAAGCCGTGAACCATACCCTTCCACCACAGTTTACAGAAAAACTCAACTCACAATGGTTATGGCTACTTCTCACCACTGTTAAGGTTGTCTCTCTCTTCACGACCAAAACCAAATGACAACTTTTTCTAAGTGTTTGCCACATGTCCTCCCATAGATCAACAGGAAAACGAATTTGACAAGCACTGATGCACGGTTGCACATACACGCATGCGTGTGCACACGCGCACACACAGATACTCCCATTTGGGACTGAAGTTGGGTTTGAACATCAATAGAGTGAAGTTTCACTGCAATAAGCAGTTACCCTTGAATATCTCAATGTGGTTAGATGATTACCTATTCTTTCTCACCACGGCTAACAAGGAACCCGCATATTCTTCAAAATCACCCTCAAATTTATGCCCTCATCCTCGATATCAAGACCAGACCAAGCTAAGTGAAATTAAAAGGTAAATTAGTTTGTGATTGTGAGATTTAAAGCAAAGTAGAGAGAGAAAGAGAAACTTGGGAGTTTTGGGATTTACAGCAAGTAGAGAGAGAAAGGGAGAGAAGAGAGCGAAATAACGGTTTGGAGGCTTGAAAGGAGGGTGAATTGCAAGGCAAGGGACAGTGCTAGAGCATCTCGGTTTGAATCCTACTTGGGGAGATTTGATTCATTAAAGGGATAGCTTTGACCGTTAGGAGTAGGTAATTTGTTCCCTTTTCTTGTTTCTATTACATTCTATCTCATCATATCACATTCTACGCTATTTGAGAATCACCGTCAAGTCAATACCTTGGTGTAGATCCAGGGATAATCCTGTAAGGGAGAGTGAGGATCAGGGAGAGAGAAAATCAGGGGATTAGAGGTTTGGAGAGGGAGAAGAGAAAATGAGGGAGGGGTAAGTTGGGGGGGTTGCCTGTACAAGCTCCGATGCCACATGAATTGCGGAAAGTAGGTATAAGTGATATCTTAACTTTGACCACCACCATTCTGCCAACCTTAAAAAAAAAAAAAAGAACTTACAATACCCAGTTTCATAGGGTATCAAAATTTCTATACAGCAAAAACACTATAGAAGGTCGAGTTGCCAAATGCAAAACTTCTATAGCGAACAATAAATTTTCAGGTTTTGGGACCTAAAAAATGCATTGCCAAATGCCCTTAGAGTTTAGCTGGGTCCATGTCACCATCAACATGCATGTGCCAAAGAGAGACTCCCCCCTACAAGGAGGAAATATGAGATACTTCTGTACCATTATTTTTGGTATGTGCCATGAATCCTATACTTATCGTTGGGGAGAGCACGTACAATCTATTGTTAATTTGTGGATTGTGGCATTTCTAGGTATTAACTAGCTTTGATAGGAAAATCAGGAGCCCCTTGCATGGGACTACATGTGGGTAAAGCTCTATTTGATTGGCATAAGGTTTAGATGTGGTCGTAGGTTAATCACAGAGAGCCCAGCAGAAGGATCTAGTTTCAATGCCAGAACACTACTATGAGGTTTTCAAAAGAGGTTTTTTGAAGTGTTTTTTGAGAAAATAAAACTGATTTTACTGTCTTCTCTCCTTGTCCATTTTATTTTTTATAGTAAATTTACATTTCAAATAATGACATTTCAAACAATGACATACTTGGGACACATGTTTAGTTTTATAAATAGGGAATTTGTGGAATTAAATATTTGTTTACATGGGAAACTTGATTGGAAATACTTCTCATGCATGGCGCTTAGATTTGACACGAGTTTTGTTTCTCGATCGTTCACAAGGTTTGACTATTTGACAGTGTGGACCCCACTGGCCATGGGAGCCTTGTGGCTGGTTAAAGGGTCAAAGGCGGGTGGTATGTGGCCCAATATATCCCCTAGTGGATTTGCGAATCCAATTTGGTGTCCTTACCATTTGGTAATTTGAATCTATTGAATCCCAAGATGTTGGTAGTTGAAAACAGTCTGGAAATCTAGTTGGTTTCAAAGTTTGAAAACTCCAACCTAAGTGGCCAGGAGTTATAACTAAGGTAGGAAATGTTTTTCTAGTTGTAGCAAGAATCCAAATAGATCCAGAAGTCATATAAAAGATTGAATTGGACTATACCTAGAGCTAAAATAGTGCTTGAATTAGGATTTCGCTACGGAATAATGGCGCATTAACCACCATCGATCCATGATTGTTGGCCAAAGTTTAGATGACTAGGATGAGCCCTCTCACACCATGAATCTCCTATTACAATTAGAAGATAAGTTCCCTTTATATCTACTTTACCCCTAGAGTGCTCTATGTAAAAGTTATCATGTCCCTTTACAACACAAATGAGTCTATAACTCTTAGAGAGCGCTCAACATAAGGAAACCTAGGGTTAGGCCATGTTTGAGGCTGAGAACCTAGAGAGAGGCACATTCAAAAAAAATCATGGTTTTGGATTTTGTGAGAGAACATAGAAAGAAAGGGGGTGCATGTGGCTTAGGGCTAGGGTTTGTCGTCTACTACGTCCTCATTCTAGAGATCCAAGTAGCTACAACCAGCAACTCCATGATTGCTTTCTTCACCAAAAATAAAAAGAGGCATGTCTTCTTCCTGGAAGGTTTTGGTGAGAGAATGAGAGAGAGATAAAAGAGTGGATATAGAGGTTGTGTGAGGCATTAAGAGTTCTTCTCATATGCTCTATGTGAGAGATCTAAATGGGAAGAAATTCCTATCTAGAACACCTTACCTGCAACTTGTCACCCAAAACCAAGTGGAAAGAAGGGAACTTCTAGTATAGAAGGTGTGTCATTGGCCCTAGGAGATTCCATGGAGGGTAAGAAGTCCTAGGGGAAAGATAGGGGCAAGTACGAGATTCCACAGTTTGCTGATTTTTTGGCAAATTTGGTTGATTTTGGAACACCAACTTGGGGACATCATTACAAGTTTTCCTGATGTAAGGCGTGTTTTTCTATGGTTTCGAAGTATTGTTGCTTCCTATAAAATTACAGAAGTAGGCACATGTAAGACCAGGAAGATACAAGATATTAATAAAAGGTGATTTGTCTGATTTTGCTGGAAATTTTTAAAGTAGCGTCCTGCATCACCTAACTGAAGCCTCTCAAAAACAAAAGGACTTAAAAAACAGCATCGGACACACATTTACTATGCTGAATCCACTATTGTACTTTAGGAGCAATCTTCAAATTTGAAAATATTGTTTTCTTCTTATGTATCTCAGCCCCATATTGCAAAGGCCAAAGTGAAAAACCCATGCATCACTATCACCCGTATTATTGTTTTTGAGGTCCTTGGTTCATTTTGTTTCAAAAAAAATCCCTTCACTAGTATATAAAACCCCTCATCCAATCGACTGTTCAACAAATGGCAGTTGAAAAAAAAAACGCAAAAGGAACAATAGGAAAGGAAGGACTTAAAACACTCAGAAAAATATAAATTTTACATAAATGAAAAGTAACAAACTACGTCTTTTTCTGTAGCTAGCAGTAGTTATGCCACCAATTTCTATGTTTTTTTTTTTTATAACGTTGACGTTTTATGCCACCAATTTCTATTATTTTGCAATTATAACCACATGACATACTCACAATCGACTACTATTGAACACCTCTTAATATCAATGGGGATCTTACAAGAGGCGAAAGCATAAAGAAGTTAGGTTTTCACCCATGCTCAATAGATGTTCCCAACCGACCTCCTCTATCTGCACCAAGAGAAAATGCCAAGTAACACTATCACATAAAATTGACCTGCTTTCACAAAAGAAATAAAAAATGGTTAATTAAACTACTAATTTCCTAATCTTAAATCCTTAATGCATGCAACAAAGGCGTATGAAAAAATAAAAATAGCAATGAAATGACAAAGAATTCAGCAAAAGCAGCAAAAGCTGCTGCATCACCATTTCATGGTTTATAGATTCCAAACTCCAATAATGAACTCTTCAAGCATGCATGAGAGAGGCCCCTATGCATTGCTGCGTTCATTGCACTTGGTCCAACATAATAAACCATAAACCAAACCAACTCACAGACAGTTCTTGTATCAGCATGAAAAGGCATCAGGATGGAAACAATAACAACATGGAAAATTTGTATGCAATTAGGAGGCTTTATCCAAAGCTTTGTTAACCAAAGTAGGAATCCACATGGGAAATGAACTATTGCAAGACATCAAGGAGTTCAGATTACATAAAAAGAGCCATAGCAAATAATAACAGAAATAAACACATGCTTTCAACCGTACATTTGCAAACAAATTCATAAATATAGGTCTATAGTAAAAAACTATTCAGCTTGGTCTAATAAGGGTGAGGACCTTAATCTTTCCGTTACCTCATACAACGCCCAAGTAAAGGACGTGGGTGGCATTAGGTAGAGGTAGCCGACGTAAAACTTTGCTACATCTTATCATGAATCCTGAATTTATGGCTCTAGATAAAGAAAAATAGAGAAACAAGATTCATGTAGCCGACCCCATATCATTGAGATAAGGCTTGGATGACGATGATGATGATGGTGATGATTAAAAAACTATTCAACTAATTGAAACTTGCACTAGTCGACATTGCTCACCATGGTCCTGAAATGACTCTAACCTATGAGCTGCCCAAGAATTGATTCTCACCACATAGCACCTCAGTAAAATATACAAAAATTATTGGTGTTAAATGTGGAGTTAAAAGTGTTGAAATACCGTAAGCTTGACTGCTGCAGTGCACATACCAAATTCAAGTGTGTCGAAAATCTAATAGACTAATTTCAAACCACAAATGCTACATATGGTGCTTTTGTAGATCCAGGGCAAAAATATCATTGAACTTCAGAGTTCATATATAAATCTTTTCAAACTCAGTCACAAAACCTAATTTATAAGTTTTGGAGGCCACCACTTCTTGAAAATATTTTGCTTTCTTACATACATGTTAGATCATACATGAAGTGTGAAGTACCCATGCATGATTATAAATAAAGCATATAAATATCCTTCATTTCTCAGTACAAAGCACCATATTCTAAAATTTGCTTGTATCATTGGAGAATATACAGATGTCATACAATACATAGTCACCAAATTATTTTATTGACATTCCTAAGCGTTCCTAAATGCAAATACATTGTTGTTGCTACTTGTGCGACATTAGGTCCAAAATTATAACAGCCAAATTCAACAATTCCAAATAAACAGAGTTTATATGAAATATGTCAAGAAAGTTAAGAAAAACAAAACCTCAAGGTGAATGATAGGTAAGTTGACAAATGTTTCCTATGCACACATAAATGTGCATATGAACTTCCTCCACTGGGGCTTCAACTAGTCAAGGGAGGTAGAAAACTCATGAACCTACTCATAAATTGCAAGTCCTTCCAAATTTGGGTGTATTCAGAGGCCGCACGCCAAAAAATCCAAAGAGAACGTAATATAATCAATCATCAGGTGATAACATGCATTATTAGACAGATTAAATGAAATTGCACATTATGAAACCATTTAGGAATATATTAACTTCTTTATGTGGAAACCGTCTACCCAATTCCTCTTGTTCAAGAAGAAGTTTCCGCTTCCCTCATACAGCAAGATCAAAATCCAGTAACTTGTGAATTGTTACAAAGTCCCAATAGTCCATTTATATTTTCCCTTTAGGTTACGAATGGTGCGGAAAGAAAGAAAGCAGGATTTCTGGGTAGTAGAGGTTGAAGGATTGTTGAAATGCAAGGGGCATCATCAGATGGCATCTTCACGTTTTAAAATATAAAGGATTTCTCTGATTGCTAGGGCTGGAGAATGGTGGTTAGTGAAGCATTTACTACTTCCTCAGGCTAGCTGCCTTCAGAAAGGTAATTTGTTGCCAAAGAGGCATGATGGTCTCAAAATGGATGATATGGAGCTCTGCAAACTTACATGAGATCTTTCTCCACTGTTCCTCATTGGCAGAATCACAAACGCATCTCCATGACTTTAATTATGATGCTTCCTTTTTCTCTTCATCAAAACATCAATGGCAAAGCCTACTCAAGAGGGGGTGATGTAACATTCGTCGAAAACATAATATTCTGCACTTTGTAGTGAGAGATAGTAAATCACAGTTACATGTAAAGCATGAAAATTGGGAGCATTAGCAATTAGCAATAAACTCATCAAGGACATCAAAAAGCCAAAACCTCACATCTTCAAGTTGTGATGATATGCCTTCTCTTAATCACATATCACTAATGTCCTTCAAGTGATCTGGCAATTACATGTTTTATAACTTGCCTTTCAAGGATAGGTCCATCAACAATATAAAAAGTAATGGAAGACATCCAGTTCAACCTCAGTTAGCAATCGTAAAAATAACATATCACCTAAAGAACAAACTTAGCAACGAAAGAACAAACTTGAAATGAAATTATAAGACAGAGTTAGAGAGAGAGAGAGAGAGAGAGAGAGAGAGTCAACACTTGAGAACGACATCGTGTAGTTGCTCAGAAAGTAATTTCAGAAAAGAGATCAAATAATAGAAGTGATTAAAATGTTCATAAAAGTGTCAAGTTCTGAAGCATACTTCAGAGAAAATAAAGCGGTGAAATGAAGATGACCGCGATGTTTCCTTACATTTGACTTTCACAATATACTCCTAAAATGACAATATAGAAACAAGAGAAGCATCATTAGTAAGCAAAATTTAAAGTAACCAGTGAACATACATATAACCACCAAATTTGATAGAAGTAATGTATGAACAAGAAGCAAACAGATTCCAAAATACAAATCTGGATTAAATAATACAGAAATGGACACTAAATCAAAAGCATGAATCCAGGAGATCCAAACTATCGATAGTGCTATTTCATATCATGCTAAAAATTTGCAGCATTACAGAGTGACATGCATTTTATGAGTGAAGGTAAGGGAATTGCACTTCATCTGGTTGTTGCAACACCATCAATAAAACTAATGCTGCTTCTAGTATGGTGTGGTTATCTATATGTACATATGCATGTATGTTTATAATCTCCAAGGTATGATGAACAAATGCTGGCCACACTAGAGAATGCTTCTTTGTCAATCAAAAACTTAGGTCAGACTTTTAAGAATCACAATGATGCTTGATGTAACATAACTGAAGAAACAAATCAAATACCTCAAGTAAAAATTTCCCAAAAAGAAAACAAAACACATGGCATAGAAAGGATTAAAAAATGAGAAAACAATCACCACCTAAGGATGATGGGCAGTTATCTTGTCCCTCACGGGTTGTTGTAGGGGAAAATCAGTTTGAATTGGCGAAGTTGGAGAGGATGTAAGTGGAGAAGATGCATGCACCAGTGAGCCTAGAAAAGGCAATGCAAATTTAAAAGCTAAGAAAGAAAAGTTAAAAGTGACATCTTTTGGCATTACATTTTTAGGGAGGCTAACTCAGTGGCTGAGGGTTTGGCCAAGGAGGGAGTCTTATCCACCTCAAATTTTGCAGTCCTACACTTCCCTTAATTTTGTACATTCCACAAGCCGCATTGTCACGGCTTGTATATCAATGTCTAGCCAACCTCTTCAAAAAACAAAAACAAACCTACATATGCCAAAAATAATGATCATTCCAAATGAAATCATAGTCTAGTGCATGAACAATGGTATTAATTCTTCTCACTTATTTATCCTAGTACAGGAATATACATCACTGACAGCAACATCAGCAAAGAAGCTTCAAATTATCTTATGCAGTGCATTAATAACAGATCTTGACAAGTCACTATCAAATACAACCTGGGTTGCATAACGATACTATTTTGATATACATAGCCCTCTCTTACAACTCTTGCCATTGAAAAGCATACTATCTTTTAGATAACTTGTTTCCATTACTTTAAAAACAAATAAAAGTCACCGGTAGGGGTAGGTGAGGTTCCAGAAAAGAATAGGAAGGAATTTATTGACAAGGAAAACAGAAAACCATGACAATGTTGATCTGCATTTTTTGTGAGTCCAGGCAGGATCAGCCTATGAATATTTCAAAATTTATATGATGTTCAAAAGCCCCTGTCTTACCAGCATCATTTTTAAATCAGATAAAAATCCTGAAATATTTGTACTCTGAATCAACTTCTGCACAAAGCAACAACAATATATAAAAATAAATATATAGAAATGGATAGAAGGTCTCAATGCTTTACAGCTAACAAAGAAAAGAAAAGCAATCAACCAACACCACGAGTAGAACACACAACTTACAATCAACATAAAATTAAATGCACATAACAAAGAATCGATGCAAAACTAAATGATGATGACATACATTAAAGAATTAATGAGAAACTCAACCAATTTATAAGCACAAACTGAAGTCCAAATGTCACTATGATTCCATATTCCACGTTTGACCCTCAAATATTAGCATATCAAACCTAGTTTGAAATTTGAAATTTGAAGCTCCACAAATAGTGCAAATATGATGGATTTGTGAACACATGAAAATTGTCGGTCCAAATGATATGGGACAACTTACAAGATACAACATTTTTTAGGCTTGAAATCTATCTCTTTCAAATCCATAATTCTTTGGGTGCAGGTGGTTAGTTTGATGCTTTTCCGCCATCAAAACAAAAACTGCCAGCAAGATTTCAATTGGACCGGGCTCTATAAAGTTGTGGCAATATGACACACTTTTCCCCATTGTTATTGAAGAGTTTTGGGAGATGTGGTGGCAGTTCTGCTTCTATGTGTCTGAGAACTTTGAGTTAATGAAATGTGGAGCTGGATTCTCGTTATTTCAAATCTTATGTATGGTTTTGCTGGGGGTACGGTTTAGTTTTCCATTTTAAGCTAATAATGGATGGCTAGCACTAAAAACAGATACATGACTAGGATTTTGTGGGAGCTTTAAGAGGGACGAATTTGTTCAAATGATTGTCATTGAAGGGTTTTGGGAGCTGGTCTGCTAAAGCTATCATAAGTTTTGAGTTAATGAAATTTTGAGGCTGATTCCTCGTTATTTTATTGGTTTTCTTACTTCTCGACTTTTGATCTCTTGTAGGTTTATTTTTTCCTGGAGATTTGGTGAGTAGTCGTCCGCAACTGAGACTAGTCAATATACCAACTTGTTGCAGAACCTAAACAACAAAATGATTGAATAGATTGAGACTAACCTTCTGAATCAGGGGTTCGAAGCCTCTGAGTAGAATGTGGGTCTCTGCATCACTGTCCAGTTTGAGATTACAGAGAGAAGTCTTAACTGCTTCAGAATGTGGAGGCACATTCTGCAGATTGATGTGCATTTCCTTTCCCTGTAAAGATCACAGGCATTAATACCCTAATATTTTACGTCAATCAGAAAATATGGATATCAGATGATAGAGAGAGAGCGATTTATAACATAATCAGAGAATGTGGACAATAGATAGGGAGAGAATGAATGTGAGTAACAGATGCTAGAGAGAGAATGGGACTCACATGGATTACAAAACGAGCGTTCAAAGAGGTTGTCGAAGGACCCCCCGATACTCGCTCCATTAGAAACTTGAAAAACTTATCCCATACAACCGTGGGAAAAGAAACGAAAGAACCCAAATCGCCAAAACCTTTATCAATTATAGTGGACGTTTGATAGCTTTCACTGCATTCTCCATGGGAATCACTAATTTTCATTGAATCTGGGATGCACGTAAAATTCGCCAAGTGAAAGCAACTCTCTATGATAAACTGTAGTATGGGTAATTTACACGGCAATGGGAAAGCTGAAGATTGTGATGCTTGTAATCTCACCCGTTTGGCAACGGCAGCTGAAACTGCATGCAATACGGTTAATTATGTATTTGATTGATATGATTGTGGGAAATGTTCTTTAAAATCAAAATGCTATTTATTAAAAATATTTTCTAATTAAATAAGGTTCCTTCCATTCATCTAATATAATACTAGACATATAAATACATTCAAGTAATACTTAAGTGTGCACTATGAAGCTATCAATATATAAATATGAAACAAAATTAATTTTTTTAATACTGAAAATTCACACAATGAACAGGTAAGAACAGGAGAAGTCATTTTAAAGAAGAAGATGAAGAGTCGAAGATGGATTGTTCACTAGGGTTGCCGATGTATTTATAGAGCCCCATAAAGAAGTTGAGGGGTCCTTTCCCAAAATTGATGATGGCTATATGGAGCAGTGATAAATGAGATGGTTATCCATTCTCATGTTAATTAAGATGGCTGGAAAAAGGTACGCATGCGCCGCCTTAATGAAGAAGGTATAAGACGTATGATGTTAATGAGTCCACCTGAGATTGGTTGAACGCTACACCCCTTTCGAGGATCTCTCATGTGTGAAGCACCCGGGGCAGTTTTGTTGGGTGTACTTTTATGATAAATAAGACCAGATACATTCTGATCAACACTTAACGAAGATTGAGTTGATAATGAATCATATTTTACCTTTGGAAAATGAACACTTAGTCTCAATGAAAGATTAAGAATAAATCACTTGAAGACATGTCGCGAACATACGGTGGACAAGTTTGTCACTCAAGTATGTCCCATTTGACTAAGATCAGGGCATGGCTTTATCTATGGATTTTGATATTAGACTAAGGATTATCTCAAGGATAGTCTAAAGCTACCCAGAGATGACTTAACTCATCTCATTCTCAACGACAGTCTGAAGCTGCCCAAAGATGGCTTAACCCATCTCAATCTAAAAGACAGTGTAAAGCTCTCTAGAGATGGCTTAACTCATCTCAGTCTCAACGACAGTCTAAAGCTGCCCAGAGATGGCTTAACCAATCTCATTCTCAACGACAGTCTAAAGCTGCCCAGAGACGGCTTAACCAATCTCAATCTCAGCAGCAGTCTAAAGCTTCTCAAAGATGACTTAACCCATCTCATTCTCAACGGCAGTCTAAAGCTGCCCAGAGATGGCTCAACCCATCTCAATCTCAACGACAATCTAAAGCTGCCCAGAGATGGCCTAACCCATCTCAATCTCAACGGCAATCTAAAGTTTTCAAGAGATGGCTTAACCCATCTCAATCTTAACGGCAGTTTAAAGCTGCCTAGAGAGGGCTTAACCCATCTCATTCTACAACATTTTTGAACTTCCCAATGATAGCTTAACCCATCGTCAGCATCATTGCATGGTAATTAAAGTCTTACAAGCTTTACGGATTGTACGGCCAATCGGTTACCGCAAAAGGGAAAATGTTTCTTCAAGAACAAGGAATTCTCTCGTTAAATTAGCACCATTGAACTCTAGGCTCCTTGCTTTATTACTCTTAAAAAGTTAGCATGGATTCAGTTGAACAACGGAAGTGGTTACAGCTCACTGACAACAACATTGATGATAATGATGAATCTCTGATTCTGCTCCTGCAAAGATCATGAGGTTCGATAGCGTTAGCGATTGTATTTGCGAGAATAACCTAACAGAGAGATCAACAACGTGAGAAGATAAACACAAGAGGTAAACCATGTTATGACGATAAAGATCGCACCCTGCAAGATCTGTGATTCAAATGAGTAGATAAACTCAAGATGAAATGGAGGGTGAAGATTCAAATATGAGAAGTGCATGGTTATCCCTTGAATAACCATAATTTAGCACAATAAAAAAGGGTACACCTCATATTAGAGGAGGTTGCACTTTTGATAGACATAGTGTAGTAGAGATGCAGAGTTCTTCAGAGGTTGTGCATCAACAAGAACCAATAGCAGAAAATAAGGTGATATTCAAAACATGAAGAGAGAGATAATTGTTTTCATGTGACTCATTTGAGAACCGTTCTCTTCTGAAGACCAGACTCAAAGGATAACAAGTCCTTGCTCATTTTTACAAGTATATGGGCCGATATGCCCTCTACGTTATCCTTTCCTTTAACATGCTTGTATTTTCTTCTTAAGAAATAAATGTATATGTTTCAAAGTCAGAGTCAAAGGTGTTCCGCTTATTTTATTTCTTCAAGTCGATGTAAAATGTAACAGAGGATTAAAACTCTGAAATTGCTCAGTACCCAATATAAATAATAAAGCTTGTGTTTCTAATGTGAAGAGCACGGGTGAATTTGGGTCTGTATATGATGTCATCTGGTTTTCTATCTGGAATCTAATGTTTGTCTAAACATTATGCATTTCTTTAACGCATCCACCTTTCGGAGTGACCAGTGTGCACAAGTTTGATATGACTTGGGAGTCAGATTTAATTCTCAATCACCGTACAACTAGTGCAACGATTTTCGGAATAAATCTTGTTATCGCTCCAATCGATAGTGGAAGAGGGATGATGTCACAGCCCTGCCCCCTTCCCCCTACCGCACACGCTGGAGGGCAATAGGGTGCGGGTTCGTGACCACATGTAGCGAATGCCACTCAGGTAGGAATGTACTCAACGCTTTGAAAAGAATGATTCAAAGCAAACCAAGAAAGAAAAACAAAATTCCAACCACACACAACCACCAAAGAGCTGAACTAACAAGTTCCAAACAATATATAAAAGCTCCAAAGTATTACAAGAGTCTAAGGGACCAAAGGCCCAACAATATTACATAACTTCAATACAAAGAGAACTTATATGGCCAAACTGCTATGTAAAACATACAAAAAGAAGCTTCCACAATAAGTATAGGGCTCCAACGGCCAACCGCGATCACCAAACTGCCTATCCACAACCTGCGGGCTATCACTCTACATAGATGAAAGTTAAAGGAGTGAGCTATAAAGCCCAGTAAGTAGATCAACGTGCCATACATTCCTACCTACACACAGTAAATCATAACCATACTCAAGGTTCATGCAAGTCTTACTAGCATAAAGCCATTTATCACAATTATATTTAACAATGTGTGGTGTATGATTCACTTCATGGTAGAGTAATAACAACATCATATATCATATCATTCAAGTATGGGCATTAAAACAAATCAACACAATCAGGCAAGCATAAATATATCAAGCATAAACACGCCTTATATCACCTACTCCTGAAGTAGAAGTCATATCCATTAGGTTAAGTCAATCCCATCGCTTAGAACTTCTACCATCACTTAGGAGGGAAAACACCACAAATGGATAACTCATTTCATTGTACCTTCACACACACACAGTCCCCAACGTGCTTTAGGGCTTTTGATAAGCGGAGGCCTTGCAAGACATGACCCTCATTATTCTCTAGCTGGAGGGCGTTATATCAATGCCAAACACATATATTGGGGGGCGTGACCCTCCCATGTGACTCACATCCTAACTCCCTTACTATCATTGGGAGTCAGGGAACGATCTCAACTACCGGCACAACTTTCTTATCATATCACATTATATTATCAATAGATGACCCATTGCAGAGTACTTCACATATTTCTTATCATATCATATTACACTACCAATAGATGACCAATTGCATAATGCCTCACACATTTCTTATCATATCATATTACACTACCAATGGATGACCCATAACATAATGCCTTATACACATTTCTTATCATATCATATTACGCTACCAATAGATGACCTATTGCATAACACCTTATACACTTATCATTTCATATCATATTACACTGCCAATGGATGACCCATTGCGTAGTGCCTTATACACATATCATTTCATCACAGAGTGTCACAGAGCTTGCTTTCATATCATACTAGAGCATGTACATATCATATCATAACAAAACATGTCTTACTACATGCGTCCATATCATAACAAAGCTCATCACATTATCATGCAGTCATATCATAACTGAGTATGTCTTACCACATGCATTCGTATAATAACAGAGCATATCTCATTGTCATGCATTCATACCATAACTGAGCATGTCTTACTAAATGCATTCATATCATAATAGAGCATATCTCATTATCATGAATTCATATCATAAATGAGCATGTCTTACCACATGCAATCGTATCATAACATAACATATCTCATTATCATGCATTCATATCATAACTGAGCATGCCTTACCACATGCATTCATATCATAGTAAAGCATATCTAATTATCATGCATTCATATCATAACTAAGCATGTCTTACCACATGGATTCGTATCATAACAGAGCATATCTCATTATCATGCATTCATATCATAACTGAGCATGTCTTACTACATGCATTCAGATCATAACAGAGCATATCTCATTATCATGCATTCATATCATAGCAAACCATGTGTGAGGACCCAGGCTTTTCCGGAGCAAGAGTGTGCCACCGAGCATGGCTGAGGGCATGTGCCGCCGTGTGAGGTAGAGTATGAGAAGATGCCACCGTGTGTGTAAATGCCAACCGTCGTGTGTGACGTGTGTAGCCACTGTGTGTGAAGAGGACCGAGAGCAGCCGTCATGGGTGTTTTTGTCACATGCGGCAGCCACCGCAAGTGTAAGTAAATGAGGCAGCCGCCGCGAGTGTAAGTGAAGAGCATCACCTAACTGCCATGTGTGAAGAAGACCAAGAGCAGTCGTCGTGAGTGAACTGTCACCGCAGTGTGTGTAAGTGTTACCACCGTGCGTGTGCTAGCCGACGTGAGTGTTGTTTGCCAGGGGAACCTCTTTACCTGCCATTACATGTGTGCCACTTGGATGCCACCAGATGCCACTTAGCTTTTGCATGAGTGCCATGTGGCTTGTGCATGTTGCCCTATCCTCACTTTGCTTATAAGTACCCTTTCACACTCCCCTCTCAAGAGTATCTCTCTCTCTCACTCTAACCCACGTTTTCCCCTTAGAGTCCTTAAGAACCTTGAGTTTGGCCCTTGAAGCAAAACCGTGTGAAGAAACTAAGAACTCTTTTGTGTAGGTAAGTGGATTTAGCATCTATGCTTCCCTAATTTTGTTTGATTATGTAGTATGGGATTCAAGCATGAAAATATGTGAAATGATAAAATGGGGTGAATGTATGCGATTGCACTAGAATGAGCCTGAATTTCTAGAACTGTAACTCTTAATTTCATGATAAATGGAGTATTGTAGATATATCTGTTACTAATGAAAATTGGTGGAAATGCACCCTTGTGAGTATACTTTAATATGAAAAAGGTATTGTATTAATGCCTATTTTGGTTTGGAAGATACCATTCATTCTTTGAAGTATGCTAAAATTTGGAAGTGAAATTCCAAAAACTGTGCATGTTTTTGTGATGAACTTTTCATTAATCAAAACATGTCCAATTGAACCCAAGCCAGTTTTAATTGAAATATGGTCGTGTTTATTCCAAAAAAGATTTTGACAATAGGCCAAAATTCCTTATGGATTGGAAATTACACTACTTTTTCTATGGGTATGTCACTATTGTAGTTGCAGGAATTTCCAGACTCTTACACATGTTTGTAACAAGTTGTTGGGTGATTAAAATATCCCTGATTGAGCCCAAACCAGTTTTAAATGGAAGATAAGTGATCTAGTTTTGAATTGATTTTGGAACCGTGACCAAATTCTATGTGGACGAGCAGTTATGCTCGATTTTCTAAGTGACTATCACATCGAAGTGCCTGTTCTTTTACGAATAATCGACTAAGTATGGTTAATGCTTACAAATTAATGAATTCACACGAATAATTTACTAAGTATGGTAGTTATAAGGCATACTTAGGGTACGAACTGGAAAATGTTTAAGAATGCTCATGAATTATTGTATAAGGCATGGTTGTAATAAGACATGTTTATGAAATGGATAATGCTTATGAACTAGTGAATGCTCATGAATTCTTATGAACCACTGAATGTGCATGGTTGTAATAAGATATGCCTATGTGATATGAATGTGCATGGTTGTAATAAGACATGCCTATGTGATATGAATGTGCATGGTTGTAATAAGACATGCCTATGTGATATGAATGTGCATGGTTGTGATAAGACATGTTTATGTGATATGAGTGCATGGTTATAATAAGACGACTCTAATTTGATGGCTGATAGCTGCCTGTTCGGTGGGGTATCTATTGTGTGAATGATGGTGCTGGCAGCTGCGATCTTTCCCTGACTCCCCATGACAAAATGGGAGTTAGGAAGTGAATGTGAATATTTGGGAGGGTCGAGCTCCCCAAATCTATATGGGCACTACGAATTGGGCCATCCAGTGGTAGTGTAACACTCTCTCACTTGATGGGCAAAAGGAGAGGGTCGTGTCTTGCAAGGCCTTAGCCTATTAAAAGCCCCAATGAGTGCTGGGGATTTTGTGTGTTTGCGTATGAAGGCATGAAGAAATAGGTCATCCATTTGTCATTGCCTTTCCTCCTGAGGGAGTGTAGAAGTCCTAAGTAATAGGATTGACTTAGCCTGATGGATAAAGTTTCTACTTTGGGAGTAGGCAGTGTTAAGATTGCCTGTAATTGTTATATGTATGCGATGATATCTGATTTGCGCTTGTTTCACAATTACAAAAGAATTATGATATATGACTCCAAGTTATGACAAATGTATGAATCTTGTGAATGAATAGAAGTAACTCTGTTTAGGGAGGAATGCTTGATGCTTGATCTGCTTATTGGGCTTTACATCTCATCCCTTTAACTTTCTTCCATGTAGAGTGATAGTTGGCAAGACAAGGACAGTCAGCTGGGGTGAACGTTTTGGTGGCTGCAGGACTGCACTTGACAAAGAGGCTTTTTGGCTGTAGGTGTTAGATGGTCATGGGCCATGTTGTTGTTTAAGTTATGCATTTTGTTATTGGGCCTTTGACACCGTGGAACTCAATTACAATAATTTTGGAGCATATATTTATATAATTGGTTTTTATTGGTTCAGTAATTATATGGTTGTATTGGAAGTTTTTGTTTTATTTCGTGGTTTGGATTGATTCCAACTTTATGAAGAGATGAGTGCACTCCGACCTGAGTGGCATTCGCTACCCTTGAATCGACCCGTACTCTGTCGCCTTCTGGCGGGAGCGGCGGGATGGTCAGGGGGTGGGGTCGTGACAGTTATGGTATCAGAGCAGCCATGATAGGACTCTTGGCTTAGGGAGTCTTGGGGGTATCCTTAGAGTGGTTTTTAGATAGACTAGTAATCGACTGTTCCTATGATAGGTCGATGATGACGAGGACTCATGCCAACATTGTGAGTTCCAGTAATGAGAGCATTGATGTCTTTGGAGAGTTCTTTAAGACACTTGGGACCATGACCTAGATTATAAAAGACTGTATGCCGAACTCGGCTACCCCTGCTCCGGACCAGGTAGAGAGTAGTCTGATTGAGAAATTTAGGAGGATGGCACCCCCAGTGTTCTCGAGGCATGCCGGAGTAAAGAAAGCCGAAAGATGGAAGAGACAAGTGGAGAAAATTTTGGATGTGTTGAACTGCTCGGATGAGCAGAAAGTAAGATTAGGAGCCTTCATGCTGGAAGGAAAGGCTGAACATTAGTGGAATTCTGTGAAGCAGTCCTGGAGAGAGACAGGGACTAAGGCCACTTGAGAGAACTTCCTGGTGGCATTTAATGAGAAATACTTCTTTGATTCCATCAGGGAGAGGAAGGAAGCAGAGTTTATTGAGCTCCAACAAGGGAGGCTATCAGTGGAGCAATGTGTCGTTAAGTTTGCAGAGCTCTCCCACTACGCGCCACATATCATTAATATGGAGAGGCGTAAGGCAAGCAAGTTTGAGAGGGGCCTTCGGTCAGATATAAGAGGGAGAGTTGTATCTGCCAACCTCAAGATGTTCTCCCCATTAGTGGACCTTGCGATGAAAATTGAGAAGGACTGTGAGGATTTCTGGCTGAGAAAGGAAGGGAAAGCAAGGTCCATGCCATCTGGGAATGTTAAGAGGAAGACTCAGCCGCCTCTTGGAAGAGGTTCCGAAGGAAGGACCAATCAGGGTAACCCAAAAATTCAAAGGACCCTTCCAGGTGACGTGAGGGATACCCGAGGCCTGGGCTTCTCCCACTGCGGAATGCATAACCACTCTACGGCTGAGTGCTACAAGAGGATGAACACATGTTTTGGCTGTGGCAAGTTTGGCTACTTAATCGAGGGCTGTCCCATGAAAGGGCTGGAGAACTGACCAAAGACTCAGGGTCGAGTGTTCTCACTCACGGAACATGAAGCTAAGGCGTCTACCTCAATGATCCGAGGTACTCTCTCTATCTGTGGTAAAGACGCTAGAATTTTGATAGACCCCTGGTTCTTCTCATTCCTTTATTGCACCTCACTTTGCATGTCATATGAACATTGAACCATCACTGCTGGACTGGACTTTAGTAGTATGCACAACCATGGGGGGCTTCTATGGATACTGATATGATCTATAAACAATGTGGGGTTTTGCTTGAAGGGTGTGTCCTGCCCATAGATTTGATACTTTTGGATATCTAAGACTTTGATGTCATTTTAGGCATGGATTAGTTATCCCCACACTATGCTACGATAAACTTTTATGATAAAACTGTGACCCTTAGGCACCTTAACTGACCTAAATTACTCTTTGTGAGTACCAAAGACACTTCCCCTTTACATTTTATTTTGGCCCTTCGAGCCCACTGTGTTTTGGCAAAAAGGTGTGGGATACTTAGCTTATGTGGTAGAGAATTGAGACATCTAGTCCAAGTTAGGGGAGATACCAGTGGTGAGAGAATACCCAGGGGTCTTTCCCAAAGAACTGTCATCCTTACCTCCAGTAAGGGAGATAGAGTTTGAGATAGATGTAGTTCCTGGTACTGTCCCCATCTCTAAAGCCCCTTATAGAATAGCCCCGATAGAATTGAAAGAGTTAAAAGATCAATTACAGGCATTGTTGAACAAGGGGACCTAGTGTGCCATCCTGGGATGCACCGGTCTTGTTTGTGAAAAATAAGGATGGGTCCCTGAGGCTTTGTATTGACTATAGGCGGTTGAATTAAGTAACAGTGAAAAACAAGTCCCCTACCTAGGATTGACGACCTCTTTGACCAGCTTCATGGGGCCCAAGTGTTTTCGAAAATTGATCTTCGATCGAGTTATCACCAACTGCGGGTCAAGGAGGGTGACCTTCCCAAGACCGCATCCAGAACCCGATATGGCCACTATGAGTTTTTAGTGATACCGTTCGATTTGGCTAATGCCTAGCTATTTTCATGGATTTGATGAATATAATGTTTAGACCCTTTTTGGATGATTTCGTTTTGGTCTTTATTGATGACATTTTGGTGTACTCGAAGAGCTTAGAAGAGCACCAACAGCACCTGAGAATAGTCTTTCAAACTCTAAAGTTGGAGAAGTTGTATGCTAAGATGAGCAAGAGTGAGTTTTGGCTTCATAGTGTGGCCTTCCTTGAGCACATTATTTGTAAGGATGGGGTCGCGATTGACCCTTCTAAGGTTGAAGTCGTACTCGAGTGAGGTAGACCGACAAATGTGACTGAGGTCCGTAGTTTTCTTTGGTTAGCAGGATATTACAGGCGCTTCGTAGAAGAATTCTTGAAGATAGCGCTACCTATGACTCGTCTAACCAAGAAGAATGTGAAATTTGTATGGTCAAACAACTGTGAGAAAAGCTTCCAAGAATTAAAGAAGAGACTTACCACCCCGGTACTGACCTTACCTGAAGGAAATAAGGACTCTACAGTCTACATCGACACCTCTCATAAAGGGCTCAGATGTGTACTTATGTAGAGAGGGAATGTCATTGCATATGCCTCCAGACAGTTAAAGCCCAATGAATAGAATTACCCATCATGATTTAGAGCTTGCGGCTGTCTGAAGACATTACCTCTATGGGGCCCAATTCATGGTATTTATGGATCATAAAAGTCTCAAGTATCTATTCTCTTAAAAAGAATTGAACATGAGACAAAGGAGATGGGTGGATCTATTGAACGATGATGATTGTTCCATTAATTACCACCCAGGCAAAACCAATGTGGTAGCAAATGCTTTGAGCAGAAAGCCTGTACTATCAGTGGCTCACCTAATGGTTCAAGAGATGAAATTATTGGAAGATGCAGTGGAATGGCAACCGACTTTGCCCCTTGGTAATGGGGTAGATATGATGGCTTACATAAGAATGGAGGAGCCTCAACATTTTCAACAGATCTGACTAGCACAAAAGAAGGATCCTCAACTCATAAAAATTCTGAAAGAGATAAAGCTAGGAAAAAAGGGACTGCTTCTTCTTGAGTGCTGATGACTTGTTGAGGTTCAGAAATCGGGTCTGTATCCCGGATAATGAGAATGTGAAGAGGGTTATTTTGGAGGAAGCTCACTGCTCTCGTTATGCTAGAAAAAAACTTTATGGTGGAATGACATGAGAAGGAATGTGGCATTGTTTGTTTCTAAGTGCTTGACCTGCCAACAAGTGAAGGCTGAGCATTAAAAACCTGCTAGATTGTTGCAACCTTTACGTACCGGAATGGAAATGGGAGGACATTACTATGGATTTTGTCTTTGGGTTGCCTAGAACAATTTTTGGTCATGATAGCATCTGGGTTGTTGCGGACCAACAGACCAAAGCTACCCACTTCTTGCTGATCCGCACAACCTATACCTTAGACAAGTAACCCAGTTATACATCAAGGAGATAGTGATATTACACGAAACATCAATCAGCATCGTGTTCGATAGGGACATTAAATTCACCTCTAGATTTTGGGCTAGTCTACAATCAGCCATGGGGACAAGACTTACCCTCGCACTGCCTTTCACCCCCAGACGGATGGGCATTCAGAGAGAACCATTCAGACCTTGGAAGATATGCTAAGGGCCTGTGTCACTGACTATAAGGGAAGATGGAATGATCATTTGCCTCTGATAGAATTTGCCTATAACAACAGCTTCCAAGCTAGTATTCAGATGGCCCCTATTGAGGCCCTATGTGGAAGGAAGTGCAGGTCACCTATTTGTTACGATGAAATTAGTGAAAGGAGACTTCTAGGGCTAGAAATTGTTCAAGTGACCTCTGAGAAAATTTCTTTGATTCGAGAAAGGCTCAGAACAGCTCAGAGTCGGCAAAAGAGTTACGTCGATAACCGGTGAAGAGATCTCGAGTTCGAGGTGGGTGATCGGGTTTTCTTGAAGGTATCACCAACTAAGGGCGTTATGAGATTCAGTAAGAAAGGAAAGTTGAGCCCACGTTATATTGGACCATTTGAGATTCTAGAAAAAGTTGGAAGTGTGGCATACCGACTTGCCGTACCACCCGAGTTGGTTAACATCCACTATGTCTTTCATATATATTTATTGAGGAAGTACCAGCCCAACCCATCACATGTTTTGAATTATGAGCCGGTCTCGATTAGAGAAGACCTGACCTCCATCGAGCAGCCTGTTGAGATACTAGATAGAAGGGTGCAGGTGTTATGTAATAAGGAGATCCCTCTGATCCGAGTATTGTGGCAATATCATTCACGGGAAGAGCTGACCTATGAACGAGAAGATGATATTAGGGATAGATACCCCCATTTATTTGATCAATAATATATGATTTTGAGGACAAAATCATTTTTAAGAGGGGGGGATTATGTGAGGACCCAGGCTTTTTCAGAGCAAGAGTGTGCCGCCGAGCACGGCTGAGGGCATGTGCCACTAAGCACAGCTGAGGGCATGTGCCACTGTGTGCAGCAGAGTATGAGAAGATGTTGTCGTGCATGTAAATGTCAATCGCCGTGCTTGAAGTGTGTAGCCGCCGTGTGTGAAGAGGACCAAGAGCAACTGTCGTGGGTGTTTCTGTCGCATGAGGCATTCGTAGAGAGTGCAAGTAAATGAGGCAGCCGCCGCGAGTGTAAGTGAAGAGCTTCACCTAGCTGTTGTGTGTGAAGAAGATCAAGAGTAGCCGCCGTGAGAGAACTGTCACCGCAGTGCGTGTAAGTGTTACCACCGCGCATGTGCTACCTCCGTGAGTATTCTATGCCAAGGGAACCTCTTTACCTGCCATTGCATGTGTGCCACTTGGATGCTATCAAATGCCACTTAACTTTTGCGTGAGTTCCACATGGTTTCTGCATGCTGCCCTATCCTCACTTTGCTTATAAGTACCCCTTCACACACCCCTCTCAATAGTTTCTCTCTCTCTGACTCTCATCCACCCCTTAGTGTCCTTAAGAACCTTGAGCTTGGCCCTTGAAGCAAAATCGTGTGGGGAAACTAAGAATTCTTTGGTGCAAGTAAGTGGATTTAGCATCTATGCTTCCCTGATTTTGTTTGATTATGTAATATGGGATTCAAGCATGAAAATACGTGAAATGATAAAATGGGGTGAATGTATGTGATTGTACTAGAATGAGCCTGAATTTCCAGAATTGTAACTCTTAATTTCCGGATAAATGGAGCATTATATATATTTTTGTTACGAATGAAAATCGATGTAAATGCGCCCTTGTGAGTCTAGTTTAATATGGAAAAATTCTTGTATTAATTCCTATTTTGGTTTGGAAGATATTATTCATTCTTTAAAGTATGCCAAAATTTGAAATTGAAATTCCAAGCACTGTGTACATTTTTATGATGAACTTTTCACCAATCAAAACATGCCTAATTGAACCCAAACCTATTTTAAATGAAATATGGTCGTGTTTTATAATGAAATATGGTCGTGTTTTACTCCAAAAATTAATTTGATGGCAGGTCGAAATTCCTTATGGATTGGAAATTACGTTATTTTTTCTATGGGTATGTCACTGTTGTAGTTGCAAGAATTTCCAGAATCTTACACATTTTTATAATAACCTGTTGGGTGACCAAAATATCCCTAATTGAGACCAAACCATTTTTAAATGGAAGATGAGTGAATCTAGTTTTGAATTGATTCTGGAACCATGGCCAAATTCTTTGTGGACAGGGAGTTATGCCCGATTTTCTAGTGGATTGTCATAGGGAAGTGCTTGTTCTTTTACGAATAATTGACTAAGTATGGTTAATGCTTAAGAATTAGTGAATGCCCACGAATAATTGACTAAGTATGGTAGTAATAAGACATACTTAGGGTACGAACTGGAAAATTTTTATGAATGCTCATGAATTATTGTATAAGGCATGTTTATGAAATGGATAATGCTGATGAACTAGTGAATGCTCGTGAATGCTTATGAACCAC